TGAAGACTGCAGCTGGGGAGGCCAGCAGGGGCCAAGGTGTGTGAGCTGTAGGGGCAGCTTTGGGGTACAGGGGTGTGTGCTGTGACCGCAGGGTCTGGACCGTCAGGTATGTGGGGCACTGGGTACAGGACAATGATGGCTCCCAGCCGACCTTGGTTTTCATTTTCTTTCTTGATGGAGAGATGGCAGCTTTTGCATCATGTTTGAGCCAATAGAGCTGCAGTGTCGGCTGATTTTATGCCTTTCTCACAGTCTGTCACATCTCTGACCATTAGAAATTCATTTGGAATGTTGTTGCGGAGAGTGAGGGGATGGCGGGCACATAACACTCCGTCCCACCTGGATCCTTTGGTTGAACAGGATGGGGACTGAGTAGAGATGGTTCCACCTGATGGAATCCTGTCCCCACGGCCTCTCCAAAAGACTGACAATGGCAGCTCCGCTGGGCGGTTGCTGGGCTGGGAGCAGATGAGAGTTCACCCCAGGCAGCTGGTTCTGTCCTGCCTCCCCCAGTGCACACTTCACACAGCCAGCCCTCCCACAGGCCAGGCTGACAACCAAGTGGTCATGTTGCCAGGCCACTTTCCGCTCTGTATACCTTTTACACCCCAAGAACATTGTTGGAATATTTCTGCCTAGATCTAAGACAGCAGAAAGGTTTGTTGATTAAGAGTATATAGAAGTTGGAGTCCCTGGAGCCAGATTGCTTTTGGAAGGACTTTCAACCTCTCAACCTCAGCTTTTGCATCCATAAAATGGGAATATTGGTATGACTGTTTTTAAGGTGTTTTAAGGGCCAGACGCCTTAATATAATTTTTGCTGTTGTTATGAGTCACTGGGTTGGAACTGACTCATAGCTGACCCTCCAGCAGGCTTTCAGCGGCTGTAAATCACATGGGAGGAGAGTGCCCATCTTTCTTCTGAGCAGCAGCTGGTGGATTCAAACCACTTGCCTTTGAGTGAGCAGCGCAACTCCTTCCACTAGACCACCAGAGCTCCCTTAAGCTGTGTAAAGAGCTTAATTAATGTTTGCAAATTGCTTTGTAAGTGGCAGTTATTATAATCATTACTGGCAATAGCTAATAATACCCTTGGGAAGCTGGGGGATTAGCTGATAGGAACAGTCTATCAGAGATATTGTGGGATCCCTATGACCACAGCAGATGGTGTGGCCATTTTTGTGCCTTTAAGCCCCACTTACCCGCCAGAACAAGAGCACACACCAGACTGGCCGGAGGGAGTGTAGCTTTGGACCACTGCTGTGTCTCCATTCTAGTGTCTGGTACAGAGTCAACCCCAACATGTATTTGTGAAGTGAATGACCTTCACCTTGTAGTTGTTGTTGTTATGTGCCATCGAGTCGTTTCCGACTCATAGCGACCCTATGCACAACAGCTCTAAACCCTGCTCTATCCTGCGCCAACTGCACCACCTCTGACACACCCATCCTGATTACCCCAGTCACCGAATCAATCCATCTCATAGAGGGTCTTCCCCTCCTGCGCTGTCCCTCCACCCTCCCA